CAGACCCCCCGGCCAGCCCAGGCCTGATGCAAAACCCGTCCAGGGGCTCCTCTCTGCTTGTGGGACATCACAGATACTTTAAATTATTTATTTTGTGAGAAGAGCAGTTTTTAATCAAAATTTCCTTTTTTCTTTTTTTTTTTAATCTCCCCTCTATTTTAAGTCCTTTCAAAAGCGATCGCATTTGTTGAAGCATTATTTGGAAGGTAACCGTGCCTGTTAAATTATGGTCTAAACTGTAATCAGTCCTTTATTTATCTCTTTAATTCTTTTTTATTATTATTATTATTATTCTTTTTGGAATCTGTGTCCTGGGTTTGTACAAACTTGTGCTCTTCCATTTTTTTCTTTTCTCTTAAGGATAAACTGGAAAAAAAAAAATTGTACAAACTAAAGATTGCAAATGTAGCGTATCACTGAATCATTTGCCTTGTTTTCTGCCTCAGCTCTCTGGGACACACGAGCTCGTGCGAGGACGAGACCCAACGCCCCGGCCGTGCCACGGGGGCGGCACCGTTTTAGCCTTCCACCCCCAAAACTGGCTTGAGGTGGGGACACTGACTTTGGTGAAGCTGTGGCTGAACAGTTAAGGATTGCTTTTTAAAAAAGACAGCAAACTTTTTTTTATTTAAAAAAATGATATATTTGTTAACTTTTTTTTTAGGGATTCAGTAGAAGAAAAAAAATCTTAAAGCACTCTTATAATATGGCATCTTTCTATTTCTGTATAAAAGCAGATCTTTTTAAAGTATTTCTGTAACTTAAAAGACCTGTCATTTAAATCATATTTTGTCTTTAGGTAAGTTTTTTTTTTGGTTTTGTTTTGTTGGCAAGATCCTTCTCTTTGTGAAACTTACCTTTTTTTGTATATTATTGTTTGCAATAAATATACATTGTATTAAAAGTTAAACACCCCACCAGTGTCTGATTTATTAACAGCCTTCAAGCAAAGCCAGGGCCACGCTGAAGCCCCAGGATGGTTTTAGCTTCCCTGATGGGGCTTGGGGTGTCCCCCCCTCTTTGATGGCTGGGCTCAGGACCTGCACTGATAAAAGAAAAACCGGAGCGAGGGAAGCCTTGGCAGGACGCTAGGGAAGCAATGGGATTCAGAGACGGACAAAACCAGACTTGTCCGGGACAACAATTCAGGGTGTGAACTCCAAAGGTGACAAATGAGCTCCAGCCATCCCCAAGCCACGCTGGCTTTGCTGTCGCAGGCGGGTTGTCTGCTCTGAGCTGCCCTGGTTTGGGAGGATGCTAGGCGTGAGCTGCGGGGGCGAGGGGCTGCCAGGGGGGTTTGGGCTTTCATGTCGTTCTTCCCCAGACTGCTGAAATTGTCCCACAAGAGCGGAAATCCCCTGAACAACCAAGTAGGACACGTATCATCCCCAAAGGGAAATGTCACTGCTCGGCCCTGAGCCCTGTTCTCCTACAGCCCCAGAGATGCAGTGCAAGCACCCCAGCGAGGAAAGATTCCCCCCTGGCTCTGCCAAGACATTGCTTTTTCCACCAAACCCATCCCAGATAAATCACTGCTCCAAACTCCCATGGCTTCTAACCCCACTGCTCCTCAGGAGCAGCTCAAGGTACACCGGGCAATCCAGCCCATGGCTTTGCCACCTCGCCCCACCTCAACCTGCAGCATTGCTCGCCGTACCCCTGCCCTGGGGCACAGCTGTGCTGAGCTTTGCAAGTTCTCTGCCCCGCTGGTTTCAGACACTGAGAAGTGTGCACCCACTGCTGGCATCATTGCAGAGGTCGCTGGTGACGGCATGAGTCCCCTCCATTCCCTCCAAAGGCACAGCTACTCGCTTATGAAAACTTAGGCAAAAACACAGCAACTTGACCCAGACTGTGTGGAAGACGCAGTTAGCACGCGGCAGCCCCACGCTGTGAGCCGAGCACGTTGCGGGACACCCCAGGGTGCCCTCACAGGGCACGGCCCAGAGACTGATCTGATAAAGCATTACTTTGCCAACAGTTTATTCTACCCAGACTCTTTAAAGTCCCCCTCTGACCAGCAGCGGGACCTGCTCCCCGGAGCAGCCGGGCTCACCGCGGGTGCCCCGGCGCAGGGACACTGCTCGCTGCAGCCCCAGCGCAGGGCACAAAGAGCTCATAACTGCAATGCAAAGCCTCCGCGCCGTTGTAAAATATTTACTCTCACTACAAGTAACACTTAAGCCAATTAACTGAAAGGGATTCATTTACTTTGTGCATTAGTTAGGGTCAGTGTCACTATTTACCTGTGCAATCAGCCACCACGGCTGGTGGGAACGCTTTGGTCCCAGCCATTTTTCCCCAGCACATGGTCCCAGCTTTTCCGCAGCACGTGGCGGGGTTCCCCTGCCCCGATCAGACTTTGCCCGCTGCAAGTTTTGGCTTTGCTGCTCCTTTGGAAAGAAGAACAAACGCAGCTACCGGCGTTATGGCGAGGAAGCGCCTGGGAGCCCCGGCGAGAGCTTGGCAGGCCCATCGCCCGCACAGCACTGCCGAGAGCGGCAGCCGGCTGCAGACAAACAATTCAATAAACCAGTTAATGTCTTTCTGATGCTCGTGTGGGTGGGTTGGGCTGTTACCCAGCAACAAGCTGGAAAACATCCCAAAACCGGGACAGCCCTTGCCTGCCTGCCTCCCCAGGGGTCTGGGCCGGGAGGGCCCCTCCGCATCCCCCCCCCCGTTTGCACTGGGCGCAGCGAGAACCGGAAGGTGGGAGCGGGACAAAGCCGGGACCATCCCGAGCAGGCAGTGCCGCAAAGAACCAACGACTCAGCCCCAGCTGCTCTCGGGGTCTGCGGTGGCATTTCTGTCCCAACACAGCCGTGCTCAGCTCCCCTCTCTCTCCCCCTCCGTAAGCCAGCTCCAGCTTCCAGCTGGAAACATCCAAGGGATATCTTCCTCGCAAGAAACCAAAAGAGCAAAGCTCATGACCCAACCCTGGACCTATAATTTCTGCACTGTTTACTTATGGTGTGGGCTTTAATGCTCTTGGCCTCCATTCGGGAAAGCCAAGCTGGAAGCATGTGCCCGGGCAGCTCCGAGCTTCCTGCCCACCCACCGCCGGGGCTCTGCCCCGCTCCGGGGGGCTGCGCTCCACATGGGGGGACCAAGGGGGACACCGACAGAGAGAAAAATGCTGGAAAAGCTGCAAAGCTTCAGGGTACTTTGTGCTAGAAAGCAGAACAGGAGGGGTGGGGGAAAAAAAAAAAAAAAGAATTCAAGGGAAAAAAAAAAAAAAAAAAAAAAAAAAAAAAGAACTTAGGAGGGTACTCAGTATAGCAAAAAACTGTATTATTCTCTTGGAAAGAAAATTACTCTCTTGGAAAAATTACTCTCTTAGGAAGACGGTAAAGGCTGCTGTAGCTACTGATGGAAGCCAAAATCAGTAACAGCCTTGCTTGACATGGGCATTACGGGTGATGAATCCTTAGAGTGGACACACTTGTGAGAACTGTGAACGGATCCCAAAGGGAAGCAGAAGAGTGAACTAAAGAATGAATGAAAGAAAGAATGAAATGAACCAGCACATAAAAAGGGAAAGTCAGCGTTACACCTTCGTGCTTATCCTATACCTTGGACAGCTGTGGTATAGCTCTAGGATTTTACACAGGAGACTACGCCTAAAGAAGTTAAGAAAAGCAAATCTCTGGTTGCTAATTCAGCTACAGCCACACACAGCTCTGCGTGCCGGCCACCTGCAGCGGTGTCAGCTGCTCAGAAATGTAGCTTCAATTTGCATTTCCTCAGCCAGCTGTTCATGTTGACATCGTATTAAAGCCAGGGCTTTCTCCAAGAGAGAAGGCAAGATCGCAGCCAGCTGTGTGCCGGGATCCTGGGATCGGCTGCGGCTCCTGCCCAGCTGTAGCGTTTGGGACATGTAACAGCGATATATCACAGCGGAGC